CATTTGATTAGCAGCACCTGGCTGCTACTTAGCCTTTTCATACCTATGGAAACAGTAAGCGTGTACTTATTTTTTCACACATGGCTTCTCCATTTTGGCTTTATTTTTGTAAAATAAATGATGACATGTAATAAGTCATGTGTTTTTCCCACGACTGTATATACATATATAGATATGTATATACATAAACCACACAATGTTAATGTGGTGTTTAATCTGCTCTTTTCCTGTTTAGTTCTATATTGGTTGTTTCTATATGTCTTAGAATATGTTTGAGTTTTAGCCTGGGCCATATTTACATGTCCTGTTAACATAATTTGTTTTGGTTTTGTTATTAATTTGGGTCTACAGCTGCAATAACATTTCTATTATTAACATAAAAGAATAATCAAGCATATATTATATCTCTATGAATTCGTTTTAAAACTTAGTCTTCTACTCAGTATTTTTTTGAAAATTAAGTAAGCCTATGTAAACATATAGAAAGATAATGACATTTATAGGTATTTTTTAATGCTTAGTGGTTTTTTAAAAAATAGGAGCTATAGGATGTAATCAGATCATGAGAAGTGAGAACTTTAAGTGGAATAGCTGCACAAAAAGATTTGCAGCCAAGAAACAACTCAGGTCTGCTGCTTTTGCCCTGCAACTTCTCTGTTGCGGCTCTCAGGAGAATTGAAGAATATAAGAGCAGCACTGCTGGATACAATCAAGTGTATCTAGTTCAGTGTTGTTGTGGTTTTTCTGTGGCAGCCAACCAAATACTAATGGGAAGTTCACAACAGCGGATGGGTACCTAAAACACCACAAAAGGAGAGAAGCAAGTGATGTGAACAACAGCAGAAGTAAATAGACAGAGACCACTGGCTGCTTCATGGTCACTACCCTATTCTGAAGCAAATTTGTTGGAAGTGCCTGCTCTGATCTTCCTGCACATGTACACATGCATGTAAGCATGAAGGCAGTGTGGTAGAAATCTTCTTCTTCTTCTTCTTGTTATATTTTTATCCTCTCTCTCTCTCTCTCTCTCTCTCCCCTATTTTCCACACAATAACAACCCTATGAGGCAGGTTCAGCTGAGAGCAAGTGGCTCAAAGTCACCCAGCCACCTTTCATGCCCAAGGCAGGTCTAGAATTCACAGTCTCCTGGTTTCTAGGCCAGCACTGTAACCACTGCACTAAATTGGCTCTCATGCCGATGATACCCAGCCATTTGACCTCCAAATTTTCATGCTGTGGTCTCAAAGTACTATGGGCCTACATATAGTTCATGGACCATGGCTTAACCAACTGCCCCTCAACATGGACATAATCTTGTAGATCAGGGTTTCTCAACCTTGGCAACTTTAAGATAGGTGGACTTCAACTCCCAGAATTCCCCAGCCAGTGTAAGGTTGAACAACACTGTTGTAGATAATGTTATAAATATGCACACCATGCAGTAGGTAATGAAAAGTAATTTTTTTATTATAGGAAAAAGGGGAAAGCAGAAATTATTGGTTTGATCTGTTAAGCATGCTCTGTAGGTTGTCTTATGACTGAAAGTCATTTGATCACTAATATCGATATAAATGTGTGCAGTGTACCATAAGCTGGAAACACATTTTTAAAATTACATTAAAATGTACATCCAAGCCCACTGTCTGCATGTATGTCTTGCATCATTTCCATAAAACTGCCCCTGAAGACAAACAATGCTTGAACTCTGAAAATTGACGCCCAAGGATGATTCTGCATATACTATCACTGCCACTATCTATGTAAAATGCAACGGTGATATACCATATCCTGCTATTAGTGACTATGATGGAAATTCAGGTAAAGGACAATCTCTAAAAAGTTATGCACATTTTTATGAAGCCACCTGCTAACAGAAAACATTTTAGAAGACTATTTTGTATAGAATATTTAAGCAACTGCACCAAGCCAAAGAGATTATTATTTTATTCTAATATATACATAGTCTTAATTAGGCATAGTCCATTTCCACCTAACCTAGGTTCGTCTGCTTCCACTCTTGTGTGCTACTTTTGCTTTAAAATGCATGCCCAGGTATGAGCTGCTACATGCATGTTGACTGTGCATACCAGATTGTAGTCTTTTCACATTTCCTACTCAGAATCTATGCTATGTCCTTGGTTTTCAAAGCCTACCACCTGCGTCAGGAAGAAACAGATTGGTTCGACAAACCCCGAGAGCCTCGTCTTGAGAATGGACCTGGTTTTGACAGAAGACTGCCAGATAAGTTAGCCCACTCAAGACCACCAAGTCAGCATCAAGACCAAGTAAGAAGGCTTTTTCTTTTTAATCAAGAATATTGTTTAAGAAAGTCCATTTCAAGAAAACTCAGTTCTCCAGTCATTTTACAACAAAATATTATAGGCTTTTGCATCTTTTTTTAAGGGTTCTCCCAATTACCTGCAACTAAGAGGATTAACATAAAATGCTTTGACTAAGAAGACCAAATTGAAATGGTTCCCTCCTACTGCTGACAAAATAAATTGAGAAGAGTACCCATAATTAGATTTATGCAATGCAGATCTGTCCCAAACATTTTAATCACATTCTCTGCCTTCCCACAGAAGCATGAATACACTGGGATGCCTGGATATCCTACCTTCAATGGCATGATAGGGAAATTCAGTAATATTCCCCACAAAAGCATTTGCGTATATGCTCTGATACTAGGATTGAATCAACTGCACATGTACTTTTCAAATGCCCAATATCTCATTCTTAGAGGTTGGAGCTAAACTCCCCACTAATTGTAGACCGCTTGGGTTGGCCCCAACAGGCAACTGTGTGTTTCCTACTAAATGATCACTATTCTGAAATTTCTAGATAAGCAGCTAAATTCGGTGCTATAGCAGTTGAAGTCACTGGATATGAGCAAAATTCACATATGCTTAGTTTCTGTTATGAACAATGCTTTTACGTATTTTGTATTTTAACAGTAGGTTTTGTGAGGTCGTCAATCTTCAATAAGATAAAAAAATAAAATCTGTCTCAACATCTCCTTGATGAGTACATGGGCAGCATCCAGGAATAACATAAAATATCCAAGTAGGTGTTTGAAATTAGCATTTTATCAAAAGGACTTTCAATACAGAGGTTTCAATTTCAAGCAGTAAAAAGAAAAAAATTAAAAGTGGTTCCACCTTGTCTTGTGCTGCATCTTTTTCCTGGCTTTCTCCAACCTCCAGACAGAAAAAGGAAACACTTTTTACCCCTTGCTTAAGTAAGTGAGAAATTACCAGAAAATGAGGGCATATTTCACAAAAACAAAAACGTTCATGAAACCTTTTCATTCAGAGCAATCTGGAATGGCAATATTTTTAGGAAGGCCAATGTAAACTAAGCAAAGGGCTGGGAATTTCGTATTGTTATAGGAATTACCCAAGAGTTGTATTGAACATTTCTGCATTGCATGACCTAAACAATAAACTTTAGGATCATATGAGGCAAGCCACCCCTGATACCCTTCTGCAGATTTTACAATTTAAAGGCTAGCTCATCAGCTGCGTTGCCTGATACATTATCTTGCCACAGATCCATTGCTTCTTCTATTACCATGTCTCAAAATGTATTAAATAGAATGGTAGACCTGTGATATAAGGTTAATTATGTAAGCACATAATAACAAGCAGATTGCATAAGTGACATATTTGCGCATTAGATTTTTACAACATCCCCAAATTGGAAAACAAGTAACATTTGGTTGGAGGCAGTTGCTTTTATGCTCCTGTTTTTCTACCTCAGCTGCAACAGCAAAACTAATGAACCTTCTACAACCAGGCACATGAAACAAAGAAATAAGCCTCCCAAGTAAGCATGAATAAATAAACACACAATAAATAAATAAATAAATAAATAAATAAATAAATAAATAA